GAAATCATACCGCTGCCCACTGCCAATGTTTGAGTGTGTTGCAGAGAGAGAGAGGAAACAGATGGTTTACCGCCTTGTGATGCGTATCAATGTGGCTGGAAGACTGAGGCTTTGAGGCAGCTGATTGGTTCGCTGAATGCTGTCATCATGGCACCCAGACCTCAGACTCAGACCAAGGGTCTCGATCTAAGATTTATTTATTGATTCGTTTATTTATTAGACCCTCCAGAAAAACGCGGGCAAAAATTCTTGATTATGCGATTAAACATGCGGGGTTTTTATGTGATTTTATGCGGTGAAATTGCGGGAAGTTGCGAAATATGCGGAAAGTTGCGAAATATGCTAAATATGCGGGGAAAAAGAATAACAATTTTTTTAAATATTGGGCTGTCTTATTTATTCTCTCTCACACACAACCTGCCACTAACGTTAAACCCCTTTACTATTCAATTAAACACATTCAATGTTTATTTATTGTAAAAGCAATTGGGCTATTTTAAACTCACACACCCCCCCCGCACACACACACTTCTCCGCCTCATTCTGTTTTCATTTACTCGTTCGTTATCTGTTATCTGACCAGCTTCAATCTGTAGGCTACTCACTTCGTTTCTTGTAGCCCTCGAAAGGGTTTTGGAGGTTGATGCCTCGGTGAACGTGAGTTGTTTGGCTTTCTTGTCCGCAGCAGCAGAAAGCATTTTCGAATGTTTGAATGAATCAAAGTGGGTCGTCACCGTCGATTTTCTCTTATGCTCCAACACAAAGTTGCACGGGGTGCAGAATAGTTTCCCCCCACTTTTTGCCCGGTCTTTAGTAGAAATGTTCGTTGGTAAATGAGATGGATTAGATTTTTTCATCGTGTGAGTTCCACACGTTCACTCTATACAGTGTTGTTTACATTCTGTGATTCGCGAGCTGATGACGTCACGTCAAGACGAGTTAACTTTTGTTTTAGTTTTTTTTTTCTCAACTTTGTGTGGAAAAATGCGGTGATTATGCGGCCTTTTGATAAATATGCGGCCTTTTAAAAATCTGCGCCATTTTGCTGATTATGTGGTAAATTCTGCGATCACAGAATCGCGTTTTTCTGGAGGGTCTAATATACCACGTGATGACACGTTAGGCTCGTGTTGTGTTCAAGGACCCTGACCTTGGCCAGGAAAAACAGGCACTCGCCTGTTTAATTTTTTTGCGGTCTAGATTTNAGGCCTGGACATGTACTGGCTTAAGCAGGGGGACACGTCTGGCACTGCAGGATTTGAGTCCCTGGCGGCGTAGTGTGTTACTGATGGTAGCCTTTGTTAGTAACAAAGGCTACCATCAGTAACACACTACGCCGCCAGGGACTCAAATCCTGCAGTGCCAGACGTGTCCCCCTGCTTAAGCCAGTACATGTCCAGGCCTGTCTGAAGTTTGCTAGAGACATTTAGATGATCCAGAAGAAGATTGGGAGAATGTCATATGGTCAGACGACTGATCCGTGTAAAGGAAAGAATGAATGGGGCCATGTATCGTGAGATTTTGAGTGACAACCTCCTTCCATCAGCAAGGGCATTGAAGATGAAACGTGGCTGGGTCTTTCAGCATGACAATGATCCCAAACACACCGCCCGGGCAACGAAGGAGTGGCTTCGTAAGAAGGGGGGTCCTGGAGTGGCCTAGCCAGTCTCCAGATCTCAATCCCATAGAAAATCTTTGGAGGGAGTTGAACGTCCGTGTTGCCCAGCGACAGCCCCAAAACATCACTGCTCTAGAGGAGATCTGCATGGAGGAATGGGCCAAAAATACCAGCAACAGTGTGTGAAAACCTTGTGAAGACTTACAGAAAATGTTTGACCTCTGTCATTGCCAACAAAGGGTATATAACAAAGTATTGAGATGAACTTTTGTTATTGACCAAATACTTATTTTCCACCATAATTTGCAAATAAAGTCTTTAAAAATCAGACAATTAGATTTTCTGTATTTTTTTTTCTCATTTTGTCTCTCATAGTTGAGGTATACCTGTGATGAAAATTACACGCCTCTCTCATGTTTTTAAGTGGGAGAACTTGCACAATTGGTGGCTGACTAAATACTTTTTTGCCCCNAGCAATTCTAGAAAATGGAAGACATACACAGGGTTCCCGCGGGGTCTTAAAAAGTCTTAAATTTGATCATCTGAATTTAAGGCCTTAAAAAGGTCTTAAATATGACCACAAATTTAAGACCTTTTTAAGGCCTTAAATTCAGATGATCAAATTTAAGACTTTTTAAGACCCCGCGGGAACCCTGTGTATGTCTTCCATTTTCTAGAATTGCTCCCACAGTTGATTTATTCACACCAAGCTGCTTACCTATTGCAGATTCAGTCTTCCCAGCCTGGTGCAGGTCTACAATTTTATTTCTGCTGTCCTTTGACAGCTCTTTGGTCTTGGTCATAGTGGAGTTTGGAGTGTGACTGTCTGAGGTTGTGGACAGGTGTCTTTTATACTGTTAACGAGTTCAAACAGGTGCCATTAATACAGTTAACAAGTGGAGGACAGAGGAGGCTCTTAAAGAAGAAGTTACAGGTCTGTGAGAGCCAGAAATCTTGTTTGTTTGTAGGTGACCAAATACTTATTTTCCACCATAATTTGCAAATAAATTCTTTAAAACTCAGACAATGTGATTTTCTGGATTTTTTTCTTCTCAATTTGTCTCTTATAGTTGAGGTATACCTAGGATGAAAATGACAGGCCTCTCATCTTTGTGGAAGAACTTGCACAATTGGTGGCTGACTAAATACTTTTTTCCCCCACTGTACATAGATCTTTTTCATTGTTAGTTTTTTTATTTTTTTTTTTAAGTATTCTGCTTTCTTATGAGGTAACAAAAGAAAAACCTGTTATGGTCATTTTAAACTTTACAACAATGTTAAAAAAAAATACGTAAATACAACCATAGGGGCACAAATGTGATTTAGGAAATAAATCACAAGGACCACACACTCTAGTTTGACCTTCTTAAAAGTTAAATCAAGAAGCTCATTTGAGATTTCTCCCTAATTCTCGTCTATTTTCAATCACAAGGGAGATTAGATTGTAAAGAAAAGGTAAATATAGTTTAGAGTGCAGCACCTGACTGACCTGATATCCTCTCCCACTACAATCACACAGAATGAAGCCCAGCAGGTTATTCACTGACACTCTAGATATTTAATAACATCCAACATGTTGTGTTCCTCTGCGTCAGATCTTACTGTATGGCCTCAGCAAAGCCATCGGTGCGGTGTGGGACCAACAGGGTGGGAGTACTGGGAACCATCCTGTCGTCATCATCAAAGAAATGTTGCTGCAACACACACACACACACATTGACTGAGACACTAACACCTCACATGCTTCACACAGTCTTTAGACTAGTTACACAGGTAGGATGTGTCTGACAACATTAACAGTACATGTATTCTAACCCCTGGACACACACTCCGTCTCTCACCATGCTGCCTATTCCCGGGGTGAGCTGAGGTCCGCGTCCCACTGAGGGTCTGCGCAGCTGAGAGGACTGTCTCTGATTAAACAAACAGAAAACAGGACATCACTGTTAGAGTATTCTATTCATTCAAGATTATTTCTTACAGGACATTTTCACAGAAGCTACAACACTCATTTTACATTTAAAAAAACATTTCACAGCGTAAGTTCATCTAATCAAATAATTTTTTCTTTGTTTTCATGACCAAACAACAGATTTAGCCAAAATCTATTTGTTGTAATGGCAAATGGACTGTATTTATATAGCGATTTCCCAGTTTTTAAGATGCCTTAAAGCGCTTTTGCATAGATACACATCATTCACACACAGCACATTGGCCATGGGGAGCCATTTTGGGTTACGTTTCTTGCCCAAGGACACATCAGCAACGGAACCACCAACCCTCCAATATGAAGGTTGGTAGTTATATGACCGTTCTACTCAGTTTACATAAGAGGCTGATATGCACCACTAAAGCATTCGTATTTTCTTCCAGATGAGTTTTAATGTTTGTACCCTAAACATTAAAAGGTACATATTGTGTTAGCAGTACACGTGTTTTTATTATAACACTCATCTGTTCCACAGAACTCCACAAAAAAATTTTGCCTGGAAAAAACTCTTAAGTAAGTTTGTACAGGAGACAAAACCATCTAGATTGGTTCCAGAAAATTGATCAGCTGTTTTTTCTTTCCAACTGCCTCTCAGGGCTTCCATATATTACTGATTAGTAATCTATTACATTCAATCTTTATTAATTACCATTACATTTTGTAACCCGTAAATGGTTTCTGGGGGATGCAGTCATTTGACAGGCTGTGTCCATGTGTAAAATGGGTGCAATAAATGTGTAATATAGGTGAAATTACTGTGTATCATGGGTATAATATACAAGTGTAATAACAGTGTAACATGGGTGTAAGAGGGTTGTATTCATTTGTAATTTAGGTGTAATTACAGTGTACTATGGGTTTATTAAGGGTGAAATAAAAGTGTATCATGGGAGAACATGGATATAATGTGTAAAAGTTGTGTAACATGGATGTAATAGGAGTGTATTAATTATGTGTAATAACAGTGTAATGTAGGACATACACAATCATGAGACTTTCCATTCAAGGGTTGAGCAAAAAAAGGGTTGTATCTTGAGTTATAAAGCTATATCTAACTTAAGCATGACTGTTTTTTATTTGATGTACCTGTGTGTGTGGGGGTCCCAGCTCTTGAACCGGGGGTTGGATATAGAGTCTTGGTGGGAGGGGGTGAGGGGGCCTGCGTGGGTGTGGCAGGCGGGGGGTGAGGGAGGAGGGGGAGGGTGTAGAGGAGGTTGGGGGGAAGTGTACAAGCTCTCGGGGGGGCTCGGACTCGAATGGTGCGGCTGCTGCTGCCTTCATCTGGCAAGAGAGGGGAACTCACATTACGAGGGTTTCAACAAGAGGCCAGGAGAATGAGTGAGGGGGGGGGGGGGCCTCACTGCTGTGGGACGGCTGCTGCGAGTCTGAAGACGCTCCACACACTGACGGCTCTCCTTCCTCCTCCTCCTCTGCCTCCCTGCTCTCACTGCCTTCCTCTCCTCCTCTCATCCCGCTCTCACCAGCCTCATCATCTTCATCATCATCATCATCATCATCATCCTCTTCCTCCTTATACTGAGGTAGAGAGTCCAAATAGGGTTATTTACTCGGGACAACAGAAACAAAGCTGAAAACAGAGTGGTGCAGTCAACATTTGACCACATCCAGTTACTTGAACATTGGTCTTGCAACATAATATTGCAATTTTTTATTTATACTCTGTTATTTCTTGCACTTTTTTAATAGTTTTAAAAAAACCTTGTTAATTGTTATGTGTGTTATATAGATTTATGTTGCATTGTTGGAGGAGCCTGGGGCTTAAAATGTTCATTGCCTACACTGTGGCTCTGTGCATATGACAATAAAACCTTTGAATCTTTGCAGTCTCAACGTTTCTGAATTGGTTTTGGTTGTTATCCTGAAATAAGGTCTGTGGTTAACTCAAGGTGAAGACATTTGAACATTTTATTCTAAGACATAAAATACATAAATAAATAAATATTGTGAATGTCTGAAGCTTCTTTTTCAAGAAAAACATGGTTGCTAACAAGTGGCTAAATTACACTAGTAAACATCATCACACATAACATTAGCCACCTTTAGCTCAGCAGTGGGGAAGTCATGTGACTGATGTATATTGTTTATAGCATTACCATAGCTATTAACATCTGGAGATTGCTTTAACACTTAAAAAATCATAAAGTGGAGTTAATGTGTGGAGATTATCCATCTGAACAGAATGTGTAAGTATCATAAAAGTTTTTTTTGCCAGATTGAACTTTTACTACAATATTTAAAAAATCCAATGGAAAAATCCGATTGCTTTTTGTTGAGGGAGTCATTGTGATGCTGACATCCGGGTTGGCCTACAAAAAAACATCACTGCAACACTATTTCAGATAATGAACAGATCAGCACCCCGTCATCTTCTTCTTCCTCCTCCTCCTCCTCCTCATCTTCCTCCTCCTCGTCATCCTGCTTCTCCTCCCCCTCTCTACTCTCACGGCTCTCGCTGTCCGTGTCGATCACGATGACGTCCCGGATAATAGTGGAGCCCTGAGGGGACATCATGTCAGAGGGGACGGACTGGGACACTCTCTCTACATCCTCGTCATCTTCAGCTAGAACGGGGAAACAATCGTCCGGAAGCTCCTGCAGCACAAACATAAAGACATTATTCAATATCTTAAAGCAGCTTAAAATCATCATAACAGTGTAATCTCCACCTCTTTTCCTAGTGGAGACGATTGGAAGCCATTATCCTGTTGGAAATTTCATGCAAAACTAAATAGCAATAAAATGAAGGTCATTGGTGACCAGTGTTGGGACTAACGCGTTACAAAGTTACTGTAACGCCGTTATTTTTGGCAGTAACTAGTACTCTAACGCGTTATTTTATAAATTCAGTAACTCAGTTACCGTTACTACATGGTGCGTTACTCCGTTATTTTTTTTATATAGTCTCGGCTCCCAGACGTTGGTGAGCGGCGCCAACAGCGAGGCGAACAGAGATGAGAACTGTACTTAAGTACAGTACTTGAGTAAATGTACTTAGATACTTCCTGTGTCACATGCGGAGACGCGCTGTGGGCGTGTTTGTGTTTACTAGCCTAACAAGACTATAATGGCGGCGGCGGAGCTCAAGTCGAGTTTCTCCGCCTGGAGATATTCTCACTATTTCACTTTTGTCGAGCACAAAGAAAAGAACGTTTTAGTTAAATGTAAGTTGTGTCTTGGCGGGTCAAAGATCCTATCTACTGCCCAAAACAGCAATTCAAATCTGTTGAAACATCTGCAGAAAGAACATGCTGGGACGAAGCTAGTAGCTAAGACCACAGACCCAGACTCATCCGACGCCACTCCACCTAAGCAACAGCGGCTGGATTTTAACCGAGGGACTGCTAGCCAGGGAAAAGTTGATAAAGCCATTGAACGGTATGTTGTAGAACACATGCAGGCTATTTTTACTATTTCTATTGCTATTTCTTGATCAACAGATTGTATTATTCTCCAATGCAATAACAGTCCTGAAATGAAGGCTACAAGGGCATTAATGGGAGCCCTTTTTTAAAGTAACTAATGCGTTACTGTTCACAGTAACTTGGTGTAAGTAATCAGTAAAGTAACTAGTGTTACTTTTGAAATGAAGTAACTAGTAATGGTAACTAGTTACTGGTTTTCAGTAACTAGTAATGGTAACTAGTTACTGGTTTTCAGTAACTAGCACAACACTGTTGGTGACTGACCTGACTGTCAACAGGTGAATCCTGACGCTTCTCCTCATCCTGCAGCTCTTCTACAATCTCATCACCTTCCATCTGAAACATACCAAGTTCCAGCTCTCACTTAACACCAATGAGTTAATTGAAAACTGAAAACAGTACCGATTGACAAAACTAAACTTGGTAGAGTAACAACACGTGTTACACTACTGCCATTCAGACTTATGCTTGAAACAAAGCTATTGTTTGTGATTGAGCTGTGTTTTGCTAATATTTTATTTACCACTCTTTTTTTAATTTGTCAAATTACTGACAGTGCGCTCCACATACTTTCAACTGGAGTTTCATCCACTTACATTCCTTGATCACTTAATTAGAAAATCCTGCTGTAACATCAGAGTGTTGATGTTTATTTTATTCACTGTTATACAGGAGCAGTGAAAAACAAGTTTTGGCAAATCCAAACATAACAGAAAAGGTAAAAAAAAAGCATGTTTAAAGATCACCTATTATGCTATATTCGAACAATATATTATAGGGCCATATCTATGCAAAACATGTCTGGTACTTTGAGAAAACACTTCAAACAGATCACCCATTGTAGCATGCCTCATACCCCTCTATTTCAGCCCTGTTACTAAAGTGCTGATTCTGGCCACGCCCCTTTGGAGCATCCGCATGCAAGCAGTGATCTCTGTGAAGAGAAGGCTGTCTACCAGCAGAAACTCAGATAAACGCTGACGTGATTAAACTCCATATTATGATCCAAACCACATCAAGCATTATTTCTGAAACAGTTTGGAGCTCAAATGCTGTTTCTCTCGCTAAATTACCACAAGGTGAGGACAAGCGGCGCCGGATTCATTTCAGAAGTGGGGGGGCCAAAAAGTGCGTGTGTATGTGATATACTTTCCAACCCTCACGATTTTCGCGGGATCGAGACTCCCGTCTTCTTCCCGGTGTCATATTTCTCCCGCATTTCTGACTAAATCTGATTTGTTTCATTCTAACATAATGCACCAAATGTTACTGTTTCCACTCGGACTTCAATACAGCTACACCATTGTTTGGTTTCCATGGTAACGTGTCTCTTTAGTAGTGCGAGCAAATTTAAGTCTGAGAGGGTCTTCAGGAGGAAGATAGTCAGAGAAAACAGAACAAGAGTAGGCCTATACAACTCGACCCTCTGCTCACTCCTTTCCTGTAAATTAAACAGGTCCAGCCCACACACATGACAGCGCAGTTGCTCATTCCATCTCTTCTTTTTTCCTGCTTCGCTCTTGTTTGACAAGCTGTATGTTGTATACACTGTTGGAAAGAGGAGATTCCTAGCTTTCTAATGATATCAGGATTGTTGTTGTACTCCAAATATTAAGCAAAATGTCACATTATATAGTAATGATTGCCACCGAGTCATAATTTTGAGAAAAAGAAGTTCAAAGTTTCCTCTTCTCTGGAATCCATCGATCTGATTGATTATTAGCGGGGCAAATGACCAGAGTAGCTATGGAGGGAAAATATTTTCGTTTGGATTACTTGTCTGGGGTAAACTCGCAAGTGTGTCTGTGTGTTAAACACACAGACGAGAAACACCGGCTGTTGTTATGCCCTGTGACGTTAAATTACTCCGTTCTCCTCTTGTAATTATGCCGTTACAAGCTTTCAAAGTTGTATTTATCATCTGGATTTGCCGAAACAAGTTTAATATTCTGAAAGCCAAGACTTTGTTTATTTGAAATCAGATGAAACTGTCACGGACCCTGCCGTGTTATCTAGATTACTATAAGGTTTACATTAATAATTTCAGTGAGAGGGAGGGGGAGGGGAGCTGCTGCTGCTGCTGCGCTGAGGGGGAGCCGAGTGAGAGCGAGGTGCCTGTCTTCTTCCCTTTAAAAGCTTCAAAACTGTATTTATCGTTTGTTTTTGGAAATAAAAGTTTCATATTCTGAAAGCCAAGACTTTGCTTATTTAAAATCAAACAAAAAACTCGAACCCCGGAAAAATATTTTTTTACACAAATAAAGGTTNAAATATCTGGATTAAGAGTTTGCTTTTTCTTTGCACGGCATGAAAGAAAGGCGAAATGAATGGGCTGTGATTTTAGTATTTTTAAGCAGAGGTCAATAATTTGTACGGCCCTCGGAGGATGTTTAAAAAATTGAAATGGCCCTTGAGAGGAAAAAGGTTCCCCACCCCTGATATACAAGGTGGTTTAAATGTTGCTTTCTTCATTCTAGAGATGCTAATAACCTCAAAAAGGCATGGTTAGCAGTTATGCTAATGTTAATGCTAATTCTCGACACTGGAGTTCATTTTTAATATTTGATCTTTCCATATTTTGATTCCTAAACACAGTGCAGAAACGTAAGGAAAAAATGTGATATTTTCTCGAATGCATTAGAAACATTATTTACTGATTATAGCACTGTTTACAAAGTTATAAGCACTCATACCAACACAGTCTCACGGCATTTCGTGTTATAGTCACAACATTAATCTATTGATTCGTGTTCCCCAACACGATTTCGCCATTTTTTTTCGTGTCACTTCCGGTCTTCCAAGACCCGACCGGACAAAAAGACGCGGTGCGGGCACAAATCATACTACCAATAGAAATAAATTACTTTTAAAATCGTTCTGTGTGACACGAAAAAAATGCGAAAATTGTGTTGGTGAACACGAATCAATACTGTAGATACAATTAATTTCGTGACTATAACACCAAATGCCGTGAGACTGGGTTGCTCATACATATTCAAAATGCTTTATAACAAAACATTGAACATTTGAATGACTTAAATTGCTAGTCAGTCCATGACATTTGTTTTTGCAGGAATTAAAGCATATAATAATTCCCATAAAACATCATCTTTTTATAATGGCTTATCATTTAACTATCCTGAGATATAGATATTTACAAGTGCTTATAACTATTGAAAGTAAAACGCATAATATAATGCAGTATAAGTATGTTTATATTGTATTATAGACACCACAGAAATAAGTTAAAACTTTCCACACACTATGCATGGCCCCTGTTATGATATCAATATCAAATAATTGGGGTTATGGGAGGTTGCTAACGGCTAATTGGGTCGCCTGCCGATAAGTGGAGAAAGGTTGGGTGTGCTGGGTTAATATGAAGGGTAGGCAGACATCAGTGTAATTATAGAGGCTGGGATAAATGGACACAGTGACACGGCAGCAGAGTACAGATGCTCACTGGAGCTTTGACAACAGACATTTGTTATTAAAGCAGATTTACACAGACAGAACGAGTCAAAGTTAAAGGTGTCTGCTTGGTGCTTCAGACACAAACAAACAAGAGAAAAGGATTGAAACAGATGTGAGGTTTTGTGAACACGCTCTCTTAAATATCTCTATCCACCGTTTCTTCCCTGTTTCTGTCCTACGCGGTTTGTGAATGAATAGAGGAGAGCGATATTGAGAGAGAGTCCTTGAGCAGTGTCGAGTTACGATTTGAGGAGGGCAGCTTCAAGAACGGCATGATCAAAGGCGCCGAGTGCGTGACCGTTTGGCTGCGGGTCGGCAGCCACACTGATCTCAATTCAGATCAAAGTGGATCGGTCCGTAGGCGTCTCTCTTTTGGTGGTGCAATGTTAACACTTAGCCCTCGGGGTGTGCTGTTGGTAATGGGGAGCACGAGGTCAGACGGATGTAGGTTTTTTTCGACGGAGGTAGAGCCTCTTTGCTGCAGAGCGGTGGACCGTTAACAGAGCCAGCAGCGCTCGCATACTCAGGTAATGTGGGGAAATGTTGGGGATTCATCCTCTGCAGACATGTACGACACAACCTGAATCAAACCTGGACTCGCTCATTAGCCACATGACTGCTCAAATTCTTCAGTTCAAAGGATGTGCAGTGTTTTCCTCCGATGATAGAGGTGTTAAGCGAACATCACAGGACTTAACGATTTCTGCGGTAGATGCTGCTAGCAGAGTCTCCATCTGACCACATGGGACAGTACCTTGCTGCTATGATCACATTTACACAGGGATATAGCCAAAGGCTGTATAAAGGAACAATGATGTTTAAATACAGAGCGAGTCATTCCAGCGACAGATACAGGATCACACATTTTTTGTTTAGAGTTTTCAAGGTCGAATGGGACATGAAGGTGTGCATTGCCATCTTTTTCCAGCAAATATGCATTGTGGATGTGTGGGGATTAGCGAGTGTGGAATTCATGCAACCAACCACAATCCGTTTGTCAAAAACTGTCATTTTCAGGGTTGGGCCGAGACTATTAGCATCACAATTTGTTTTAAATCCAGTTATCCTGTGACCAGTGGGAAGATGCTGCATGGTAGTTGTTCTATTAAAACAAATGGTGAGACAAAAACACAGTCAGTCTCTAATTACCTTCCGAGTGGTGCGAGAGGATGAGGAGGTTGACGCAGGACGCCCCAGCTCCGGAGCCGAAGATGGTGATCCTCTCTGGGTCTCCTCCGAAGTGGCCGATGTTCTCGTTGAGCCAGCGCAGGGCCTGAATCTGGTCCAGCAGTCCGTAGTTCCCCTTAGCAGACTGATCGCCGGTACTGAGGAAGCCTGAGAGAGGATATTAAAGAGGGAAAAGGGATGGGAGGAGGATAAAGAGAGAGGACGTTAGTATCAGGACATTTAGTACCCATCTGGCAAATGTTCCCTACTTTGGCCTGTAGATCATCTTCTGACTGTGAGGGATTTGCATATATGTTTGAGCGTGTGCGCGACATCGTCATTCACCAACACCAGGAGCAACAGACGGAGAAGGCGAAGTGAGTGAGAGACGAACTTGCTATCTCAGCTGCTCTCTTAATGACATTTACTCTAATGGCATTGAGCAGGGACACAAAGCCACTTACAGTAGCAGCCCCAGAAATATAGGTGACCCCAATCTGAATCACACCCATAACTGGATTACAAGTGATGACACATCATGCTTGGAATCAGGATTGTGCAATGTCTTTCTTCTTTTTTTGGGAGTAAAACAACTTTTCTTAACCAACCATTTTTGGCATGAGAAAACACAACTCTTTTTAAGTTAAATGATTTTCCTTTGGATTTTTTTAGGCAGCAGACTTTCTGACTTGTCACAGGAGAAAAAGCACAGATGTTACTTAAGTTTCCCAGCATGCCATGGTACAGTGTGAAAGTAAGCAGCATGCACAGCACCAGGAAAACAGGAGGAGCTA